CAACTGATCAAGAACACCCTGGAAATCATTAACATGATCATTGATCAATGTACCTTCCCTATATCTTAGATTCATCAACTGCTTCAACAAGAACAACTTGTTATTGCCTGTTTTGGAAGCATACAGGGTCTCAAGCTTATCCCACAAGCTCCTGGCATTCGCCTCATTAATAACGTGGTTCAGAATATTGTCTTCGACCCATTGTCGAATATAACCACAAACTTGTTGGTTCTCAAAGTTCCACTCCTCGTCTGACATATTTGCTGGCTTTGCACTTGCAAACACAGGTAGATGCAATTTCTTCACAAACAGGAGATCCTTCATCTTGGCCTTCCAAATGTGAAAATTTCTACCATTCAAGCGCACCATATTGATCGTATTTGCCTCCATGTCAAATGTACCCGATCAAAGACCAGGGCTTTGATACCACTTTGTTGGGAAAAATCCCACTACCTGTGATAAATAAAATCACAGGACCAACAAGAGCGCAAATACGAGATGGTACAAAATAGCCAAAATAAATAATAGACACAAGGGACACAAGATTTACGTGGAAAACCCCAAAACCACGGGGAAAAACCACGGACCACCACCAACACAATATTCCACTATAACAAATCTTGGGTACAAAGTTGCTGGCTACCACCCGAGCCAAACACCCTAAAAATATCAAATACAACAACTCTAGGCCAAATACATTCTATCACGTTCACAGGCCTAAAAATGAATAATATCTCGTACTCAAAATATTCAACCACCACGAGTAAGGTGAATAGAATACAAATATTACGAGAATATCCAAAAAGATGCCTGGAACAAATAACTGACCTCTACAAAATATTTGATAAAGAAAGTACCCAAAAGATCTAGGCAAACCCACGACAAAGTAGCACAAAATGAAGAAGAAATAGAAGTTGCTCCTTCCGCTGCGCTACGTACTGCCGTGAAGAAAGAAGAAGAAAGTGAATTTCTTCTTTCTTTGTCCACTGCCTTAGCCGAAAAGAATGTTGAAATTTTTGTGGTGTGTTTGAACAATGAATATTGCTCCTTTTATACTTGTGAGGGGCTGCCAAAATGGAAGAGAAAGAAAGAAATTGTCAACCCTTCACATGCATGCCAAAAGCATTTAATTTTCCCTCTTTCATGCTGACAACCGAAATGGGAATTGAATGAGGAAATCCATTTTTCAACCTTGTCAAATCCATGCTACAAAAGTAGTGTGAAACAAAGAAAAAAAAATTCCTTCTTCTGGACATCTCCCCCAACTTTCACTTTTCAACTTCTACCCATATCAGTATATCACATTCTCCAAGACAATTAATAATTGTCAGCAAACTTCTCCAACAAGCTCAAATATATATTAATATATTATAGTGGATAAAAATAGGCTTGGTCCAAATTGAGCTATTTACCACATAGGAGGGAAGCCCCAACCCAACAAGAATAACCACCGGGGCGTGGGTTTCTACTTGCAGTGCTCGAATCCCGGAGCTGCTAGAGTTCTTCGCTGGAGGCCGCTGCTCAACCGCCCACGTCGCTGCCTTGTCAATCGCAGACTGCCGCCTGGTGTTGCTCAGCCCTCCCTGGAGACCGCCGCTGCTGGAGCTCTTCGCAGGAGTTGCTTACCGTCTGTTGGAGTCTATTTTCGTCACTGTTGGACTGCATCACAGAGGCTCTGTTTCTCTACTGTTGTCGTTGCAGGAGGTCGATTGGAGTCCGCTGCTGTCTCTCTGTTTTTGCTTTTTCTTTGTTTCTTTTTTTATTTTTTTCCTTGTTTTGTTGCTTTCGTTTCGTCCTCTGTTTGCTTTTCAATATTCTAATTATTATTATTATAATAATAATAATAATAATAATAATAGTAATAATAATAATAAATATGGAATACTAGTAATAATAATAGTGATATTAATTATTATCGCCATTAGTATATATTTTTATGTTTTTTTTTTTTGCCGCGACTTCTTCAAATTCGGTATAACTTTATCTCAGTTCAAAATGGTACACTTTCAAGATCAATGACTTGATGGGCAAAAGAACCTGGTGATATCAAGCAACAGGAGTGACCATAAAATCATGAATGCAACTGGACTCCGGAGTATGATCGTCTGTCATCTAAGGTGTGGACCTTGCTGCCAGGAATGCAGGACAAACCACCCAAAGACAAACTACCCACGCTGGGGAATCGCATACTTAACGTTGAAGTCTTGTGGTCGGGGTCAAGACATAGACTTCGATGGTGAGTTCGCTTATTTGAAAGGATACTGGGAGTGGGCTGAAGACACACTTAGCTTCTTCAGCAAGACTTTAAAGGACGTCATGATATATGATGTTGTGTACGCGTCATTGTTCACATATGACCGTAATACTAGCATCGTCCAAGCCTTTTGCGAAGCATGGTACCCGCGAACTAATACACTGATTACCTCGTCCGGTGAGTTGAGCTTTTCATCTCGGGATTTGCACATACTTGGGGGGACTACCATTGTCCGGTAGCATTCATGACGAACGCATCCCAAGTGTCTTGGACCCAAGTGTTGCGCGTGCTTATTCGAGGCATTTTACCGTTTAAATCAGCAAGAAGATGACACCACCTATGTTCAAGCATCACGATGGATCGATCCATCGTGTTTTCCTGCACCAAAAGTTGATCCATCGCGATGCTTGAACATAGGTGGTGTCATTTTCTTATTGATTTAAACGGTAAAATGCCTCGAATAAGCATGCGTAACACTTGTTTGAATTCTTGGTCAGGTCCAAGGCACTTGGGATGTGTTCGTCATAAATGCCGTCGGACAATGGTAGTCCCCCAAGTATGTGCAAATCGCGAGGTGATATGCTCAACTCACAGGACGAGATAATCAGTGTTTAGTTCGCGGATACCATGCTTCGCCAAATGCTTGGACGACGCTAGTATTACGGTCATATGTGAACAATGACGCGTACAGAACATCATATATCATGACGTCCTTTAAGGTCTTGTTGAAAAAGTTAAGCGTGTCTTCAGCCCACTCCCAATATCCTTTCAGATAAGTGAACTCACCATCGAAGTCTATGTCTTGGCCCCGGCTACAAGACTTCTGCGTTGAGTATGTGATTTCCCAGCGTGGGAAGTGTCTTTGGATGGTTTGTGCTACATTCTTGGCAGCAAGGTCCACACCTTGGATGGCGGACGATCATACTCTGGAGTCTAGTTGCGTTCATGATACGACACCACGAGCTTTGCCTGGTCATGTGGTAGTATGGGTGGGTTAACCGCAACATGATTTTATGATCGCTCTTGTTGCTTGATATCATTAGGTTCTTTTACCTATCAAGTCGTTGATCTTGAAAGTGTACCATTTTGAATTGTGCTAAAGTTATACTGATTTTGAAGAAGTCGCTGCCAAAAAAAAAAAAAAAAAAAACATATACTAATGACGATAATAATTAATATAATAATTAATATCTCTATTATTATTATTATTATTATTATTATTATTATTATTACTATTATTATTATTATTACTAATATTATTATTACTATTACTATTATTATTACTATTAATATTATTATTACTATTATCCTCACCATATAGAATTAGAACTATTTTGATTTATCTAGTCGGGCAACTCCATCCTTTGATTTCAAAATTTCTTTGACTTTACCCAAAAGAAGACAACAATCATTCCTAAGTTCCATTGGAATCGTAAGATCTATCATGTAAGATGTGTGGATAGTGAAAGAGGTTAATGATAAGGCTTCCCCATACAAGTCTGCCGATGCAAATACTTTAGATCCAAGGACCTAGCAATGACTGAGTCCTAATTTTATTTTGTCTAAATAAATATGAGTTAATTCCAACATTAGTCCTTCGACTATCATGATTTTTCACAATTAATCATAAACTTTTAATTTGGACAATTTAGACACTCGACTATTAAAATGTTTTCAATATTAGTCCTTCCGTCCCAAGCTGGTTAAGTGGATGTTAAAATGAGGGTTAAAATAGTCTTTTAATATACTCTCTTATAATACTTCGTTCCCTTCCGATTAAATCAAAATACGCAGAGATCGCAGTCAAAATACTACACCGTTCACAACAGAATTGCTGACGGCGGCGGCACTTCGGAGGTCAGGATTTGAACATGGGTAGATGTTGGCGGCGTCGACTTTCCAGCAGCAGATATTGGTGCCCCCCACTGCGGCCATTCCCAATGGAAGCTCCAGCCGTTAGCGTGGAACATGGGTAAGGTCCACAGATATTTCCTCTTCGTTAACTCCAGAAATCCTTTCATCGGTCCTATAATTTTGATTACATACAGTAGTCTTCTCCGGTCGAATAATTCCAATGGTAGAAGCTATAGATCGAGTTGGTTTTCATTCCTGCCCCAAGAATGGGGCACCATGTTTCTGGTGTTGAAGCCGCGCGCGAAGCTCCTCCTACGAACACGCCCCCGCCTCTCTATTAAAGTCTTCATCATGAAGTTTCCGTTTGATTCCAAAGTTAATTCTTACATTGAATCTCTACCCAAGTTGAAGTTGATACCACTGGCGGTGGATCCTCCTGAGCATTTGAAGGAGCACCCCGACAAGACGGTCTTCTTCCTCTTTTTTTTTTTTTTTTTTTGAAATCTCTTCTTCCGTTTATTAGTTGAATCTCATAAACCTAAAGTTAGGAACTGTGTTAAAGAGATGAAAGATTCAAGGCTAGCTGGGTTTGTTGTGGGCATGTTCTATACTGCCATGATGGATGTGGCTGACGAGTTGGGCATCCCCACCTATGTGTTCTACACTTCCGGTGCGGCTAAGCTCGTCCTTCACCTCCATCTCCAAAGCCTCAAAGACGACCACGGTGTGGATGTCACGGAGTTTAAGGATTCCGACCCAGATTTGAGCATCTCCACTTATTCCAAACCCTTTCCGGCGAAGTTATTGCCGGCGGTTGTGTTGCTTTAAACGGGCGGCTCAACCATGTTCCTGGACATTGCCAAACGACTCCGACAGACAAAAGGCATCCTCGTCAACACCTTCTTCGAGCTAGAGCCACGCTCTGCTTCTCCTCCTCCTCCTCCTTTGGAACTGTGACGGTCAGAACGCCGTTGTCCATGCTAGCCTTCACTTGATCCACCTTAGCATTCTCCGGCAGCCAGATCCTCCTGACGAATTTCCCGGAGCTCCGCTCGCCAAGTGTCGCCCTTCTCCTCCATCTCTCGCTTTCGCTCGCCGCAGATGATCTGGAGATTTTGATATATGTGGCGTATAGAGTTTTGAGATTTTGATTTATTTTGTGTATACAAATACGGAGAGAAGGAATAACAAGAATTATACTCTCAACAATTGAGAGTACAGTTTTACCCCTTTATTAAACGTCTACTTAACGACATTATGACAGAAGAACCAATATTGAAAACATTTTAATAGTCAAGTATCTAAATTGTCTAAATTGAAAGTCGAGGACCAATTATGAAAAATCATAATAATCGGAGGACTAATGCTGGAATTAACTCAAATAAATATTAACACATGAAGGTATTACAAAATAAATTTGAAGAGTATAAGTTCATACATTAAAATTACATCAATTAACATTATTAAATTATACAAAAATAATTTCTAGCACCATACAATAAAAAGTGCTCGAGAACGGTCCGTTACTATACCAAAAACAAAACATCTAACAACAAAATAAACCTAAGACGACTATCAAAGACCCAATAAGTAAAAAAGAAAGATAAAATAACAACCATGATTTAAAACAATCAAGCAACAACTAAGGTGAATCCTCCCTGTCCAGAATATCACTATAGCATTAAGACTTAAAGAGTACAATTTATAGCATCCTAAAAAAAACAAATAATATTGAATTACATTTTAAGAAATTAACAAATCTATATCAAGAAAATCTTCTACTATTTTCTAATGATGACATAAATACAATTGTGATCAAGAGAAGGATCACTAATTCAAAAGATATAATTGTCTTACCTTAGCTTAGCTTACCATGCAGAGATTTAGTTGAGCAATTACCTTCATTTCATCCTCTACTTTTAAGCTCTACGAGCTGCAAAAAACAAACAAACAAATAAATAAATAAATAACAAATTGTGGAATGAAGATTTCCACTTTTACAGAAAACAATTTTAGATAGCACACTATACCATCACAATCTCTTAGAAATTGAAGTTTGATTCGATTCAACCTTGCTACTACATCTTTCATATTTAACCGCATTTCTGGAGAGTCCGCAACACATTGTAATGCCAATTCTAGTGTAGAGGATACACATTGCAGTTTCGTAGTGAAATCTTTATCCTCGACCCTCAATAAGTTGGAATCTACTACTTCAAGTATGTGGTGAGGTATAGAATTTCTCATCCAACTTTTTAAGCTTAAATCCTCACTAAAATATTCATCTGTGGGCCTTCTTTTCGAGAATGTTTCCATTAACACAACCCCAAAGTTGTAAGTGTCGCATTGTGTTGATATCATTCCCGTTGATCCATACTCTATGATTATAAAAACCAAAATCAATATTTTTGAAACAAAAATCAAAGGGCTATGTCCATCGAACTTGCAAATATTGTAAATTTATGGATAAATAATTCAATGAAAGCTAAAATTGCATTTACCTGGTGCCATATAGCCCAATGTTGCTAGAGTTTCTGTTTGCAAGAAGTTTTCTTCCTTGGTTAAAAGCTTTGTCACACTAAAATCACTTACATGGGCAACCATATCTTCATCCAATAACACATTTGCAGGTTTTAAATCACAATGGACTATTGGTATTGTGTAACCGTGATGAAGATACTCTAAAGCACATGCAACATCAATCATTATATTCAACCTTTGAACAGTATCTAAGAAGTTACTCTGTGAGTGCAACCACTGGTCAAGACTTCCATTTGACATGTATTCAAGGACCAAGGCCTGGTAGTTGTCAGAAAAGCAACAGGTATTAACTTTAGTGAGATTTCGATGGCGTAAATTCCTTAGCACTTCACACTCAACATCAAAACTCCTAAGTGCACGTTCTGATTGATTAAACACCTTCACTGCAATTGGCATTCCGTTATTCAAAATCCCTTTATAAACAGAGCCAAAACTCCCTGAACCTATAAGATTACTTTGGCTGAATCCACTTGTAGCCCTTGCAAGTTCAAAATAAGATATCCTTATTTCATCGAATGGAATGTAGATATTCATCACACTTGGGACATCATGTTTCTTTCGTTGCCTTGTCAAGATAATTGCAATAATTAAAATAGTAATTATTAAAGCAGCTCCCAAAGATGCAACTGTAATGAGAAGTCCTGTTTTAATCTTTGAATGGTGAGCAAAATGACAAGGTGGGACATGAAATTTTGGAATTCCACATAGCTCCTCATTGAACAAGAACGACGCACTTGTGAGATTCTTGAAACAACCACCGGATGGAATTTCACCACTCAATTCGTTGAAAGATACATTAAAGTATTTGAGGTATGCAAGTCTTTTCAAAGACACTGGAATTGAACCCGAGAGTCTATTCAAAGATAAGTCCAAAAGTTCCAAGGAAATAATTTGACTTATTTGTTTTGGGATAGACCCTTCTAGCCTATTGTTTGCAAGGGAGAGAGATTCCAAATTTTGCAACTCTCCAATTGTAACTGGGATATTTCCTGAGATCTCATTGTGAGAGATGTTAAGAAAGTAAAGTGCCTTAAACCCTTCAACTTCAACAGGTAGAAATCCATCTAAGAAATTGGAACTCAAATCAAGCGTCAATAGATCTCTGAGAGAACACAAGCTTGAAGGTATTCTAGATGATAAAAGGTTTGAACCAAAATCAATATTCCTAAGGGAAGTACTATTACCAAAGCATTTTGGTAAACCACCAGAAAGTTGATTATTGTGTAAATATAGTTCCCCTAGATACTTGACTTCACAAAGACTTTGAGGAATGGGACCATTGAATTTGTTAGTACTAAGATACAACCGTTGAAGCTCATGTACCCTTCCAAGTAGTGGTGGAATAAACCCCCTCAAGTTATTGCTTTCCAAATTTAAGGTAACCAATCCACTTAAGTTCCCAATTTGATTAGGAATGATGCCCTTTAACCCACAATCCTCAACAGCAAGAAACTCAAGAGATGAGGAAAGATTCCCAATGGATGATGGAAGGATAGCATATAGAGGGTTGCTAGTTAACAATACTTCTCTTATATAATTGCAATTAACCAAGGAGTTGATGACACTTAACTCTTGTGATGTAGGATTGTTAGTGAGCATGTTACCTTGCAAATGTAGTTGTTCTAGGAGCCTTAGATTACCAAGAAATGTAGGTAATGTGCCGCTGAATCTATTACCTTCAAGGGATAAGATAGTAAGTTTTGAACAATTTGATATTGAATCTGGTATCACTCCGGAGATGAAATTGATACCAAGATAGAGACTTTCTAGATCTGATAGAGCATACCCCATACTTGTGGGGAGAGTGCCCACAAGGTTGTTGTCTGAAAGTTCAATAAATATCAATGAAGAAATGTTGAAAATTTCTTTTGGTATTGTCCCACTTAAGTTAGCGGATCCCAAGCCTACCTACTTCAATGTATAAAGTTTTCCAATTTCTTGTGGTATTACACCTGCCAAATATTAATATTCTTGTAAGCTCATTATATAGAAATACATACACACACAATATACTGTTAAAAAGGGCAGACGAGATGGAATTGTCAAAGCCTGTCATTTGGTAGGGCTAACTGTCATGGCCCATGGGCCTTTATAGGAAGGCCTATTAAACCCGGCAAATTATGCTGTGGACTCGTGTCCACTATGCATCGTGGACACGAGTCTAAAACGACGTCGTTTTCCCGGAAAATGACGGTATTTTAATTAAAAAAAAATAGATTTTGTCTCGCCGTTAAAGCGTTAACGGTGTTATTCGTTTATGTAATTATGAATGTACAGTTATGGAATTATGAACACAGAGCTCTGACATTATGAACTTACAATTATGAACATATAGTGATAAAATTATTAACATAGAGCTCTAAAATTGTGAACATAGAGTTTCGAAAATTATGAATGTACAGTTATTGAATTATGAATGTACACTTACGGAATTATGAATGTACAGTTATGGAATTATGAACACAGAGCTCTGACATTATGAACTTACAATTATGAACATATAGTGATAAAATTATGAACATAGAGCTCTAAAATTGTGAACATAGAGCTTCGAAAATTATGAATTTACAATTATTGAATTATGAATGTACAGTTATGGAATTATGAATGTACAGTTATGGAATTATAAATGTACAATTATGGAATTATGAACACAGAGCTCTAACATTATGAACTTACAATTATAACATATAGTGATAAAACTATGAACATATGCTCCTATAACGAAGCGGTCTAAAATTTAAAAAAAAAAAATGGTGGAAGATAATGGTACCACTTACGGCACCGTTCCATGTCCACAATGTATGCTGGACACGGGTCCATAGCATAAAGATTGATTAAACACGCCCAAAGCTGGATTGGCCTCTAATTTAAATCCCTATCTCATCGCTACCTATTATATAATCATTATTGTGTTTATCATGGTCCACTTAAGTTTTGTGGACCATATTTTGTATAGTATAAAATAATGTACGTTTAGTACAAAAATAATGTACTTTTAATATATTAAAAATGTACATTGTATTCAGGAGATATACATTATTTATGTACTGAGTGTACATTATATTGTATAATGTACATTCAGTACACAAATAATTTGTATTTAGTATTTTAAAAATGTACTTTTTATTATGGTCTACACAACACTATAATAATTTGCCACCTATTATATGGCTGGTCAGTTGGCTCGGTGAGTATGCTAAACTCGTTTTTATAGTTCTACAGACAAATTAAATACATTCTTGTTTACTTATTTGCCTTTAAAAAAAAATTATTTATGCTTAGATTTGATAAAAGATTTCTTGAACCCTAATTAAGGTAACATTTTTACCAATAAATAGAAGTTAGAATGAGAAAAGCACCCGTATTTGTCCAAAGAGCATATGTTTAGCTTCCTAATAATATTGGGGCCAAAACAATTACAGCAAGTTTGGTTCACGGAATGAATTTTGAGGTAATAGAAATGCTATTCCATAAGGAATGGAAGGAATAGAATAAGAATTGTATTCTATTGTTTGATTCGCGGAAGGAATAGACTTTAGGAATTATATTACAGTGTTTGGTTGATTTAAGGAATAGAAATGAAATATGTTTTAAAAGACATAAATACCCTTATAAAAATATGTGGTGGTGGCGATGGTGGTGGTGGTGGTGGTGGTGGTGCTGGGGCGGTAGTGGTGGTGGTGGCGGTGGCAGTGGTGGGGGCGACGGTGGTGGTGGTGACGGTGACGGTTGTGGCAGTGGTGGAGGGGACGGCGACGGTTGTGGCGGCGGCGGTGGTGGTGGTGGCGGTGGTGCTGCTGGGTGGTGGTTCTGGTGGCGGTGGTGGTGGTGGCGGTGGTGGTGATGGTAGTGGTGGCGGTGGTGGTGCTGGGGTGGTAGTGGCGGTGGCAATGGTGGGGGCAGCGGTGGTGGTGGGGGCGGCGATGGTGGTGGTGGTGGCGGCGGCAGCGATGGTGGTGGTGGCGGCGGCGGCGGTGATGGTGGCAACGACGGTGGTGAAATAGGATAAATTTATATATATGATAAAAAAAATTAGGTTAAAGAAAGGGGTAAAAAAAAAATAGATTCTAAAATCTATTCCTGAGCGTTCAGTAATAGGCTAATACCAGGGGGGCCCTAGTAATAGCTATTACCTTATTTGAGGTAATAGGCTATTACCAGGAATATTATTCCTGGTAAAGAAATGGTTACGCTAAACAAAGGAATATGCCTATTACTGGGAATACTATGTCATTCCCGGCCTATTCCGTGAACTAAACGGGCCATTAGGGTTTTAAGTAGGATAATATTTGTTTTGAGAATATAATGCATATTCAGTCTAAAATAATGCATGTAAAAAACATGTGTATTTATCTCAAAACAATGCGTGGTTAGATTTCTTGATATGTTATGCATATTTAGGGGATGTATTCAATTATGACTTTTGTAGAGTTTTAAAGACTTTTATGAACTTTAAAAGTAGGGAGGTATTCAATTCAAACTTTTAAAGAGTCTTTAAAATTCAAGCGGTATTCAATCAAGATTTTTAAAGAGTCTTTAAAAAGTCATGTGGTATTCGATTAAGACTTTTAAAGAGTCATTAAAAGTCATATGGTATTCAAAAAGTTATAAACTTTTGTAGACTTTTTAATTCTAAGACTTTTGTAATTTTTTCCTTCTCAAATATAAATAGTTGAAATCGAACCATCAATCCAAAGATTTCAAAATTTTCTTTCTAACAACTTTGAATGTTTTTCTCTCTCTACTTAAACTCTATTTTTTCTCCCTATTTAAACTTTATAAACTTATCTAAATTCAATAAAATTATTTTTTCTTCATTATCCTATATTTTCCTATACCTAAACTCTACCAATTTTTCTCTCTCTCTCCTACACTTTACAATCTTCATCTAAAAATTCAAAATAATATTATTTTTACTTCATTATTGTTTGTTTATATTGATTTTTATTTTATTTTTCTATAAATTTTTTATCTCCAACTTTCTCTAAAATACATGAACAAAACAAATTTTTCATTGTCAAATTTTAGTATATGTTTCATAATATTCATATAAATACTTATACATTTTGATTTTTATTATTTTTATGTTTATATTCGTAATATATATTTTTCCTTCTTTTTTTTAACAAGTTACTAAAAATAGTGAACTACTGTTCGCAACAGCAATTTGGGGTTGCAAACAGTAGCACCTTGTTGTTGCTCGCAGTCTCAAATTGCTATTGCAAATAATATTTCTTTGCGTGATACTTAGCTATAATTTTTTATATATATTATTAATATTGGATTTTTATTTTTATTTTTTATTTTATGCAACTTGTAATTATATTTTTAAATACTTTATTTGATCAATTCTTTTATTATAAATTTTATTGTTCAATATTGTTATGAATTTCTAATGAAATAGTTTTTTTTTTTTTGTTGATGTTTATTAATAATATATATATATATATATATATATATATATATATATATATATATATATATATATATATATATATATATATATATATATATATATATATATATATATATATATATATATATATATATATATATAAGTCTTAGCATACTATAGATAAAAATAATAATGTTGAGAATGCTGATGTGGGTGAAAAACTATATAATAAGAAGAATTTTATGATATATTATAAATGTTTTGTAAGAAAATTATAAATGATAAGAATCAAATTATTGAAAGTTTGTAAGGATGTATTCAATTTAGAATTTCAATGACTTTTGTAGACTTTTTTTTAAAAAAAAAAAAAAAAGTTGATAAAAGTTTATGAATGTTTTTTTTATAGACTTTTATAGAGTCTTATAAAGTTTTAAAAAATTTTGAATAACTCTATGAAAATCAATCAAAGTTTATTAAAATTTATCATTTTAAAAGTCTTTAAAACGAACTCTACAAAAGTCATTATTGAATACAACCCCTTAGTTTAAAACAATATGAATTTTCTTCAAAATGACGTAGTTTTACACAATAGTAATACTTGAACAAGATTTATTCATATTTTCTACTTGAACAACACTCATGATCTCATCCCTATATATAAGAAAGCTGATTTTAATTAATTAATAGAATGTGGCTCTATATTTTTAAATATTGAAGGTAAACTTATACATCTACTTTTTCCATATATAATTGCCGCTGCTCATACTACTAGACATTGTAAACATTATCTAAATTTAGAAATTATATTTAAAATTTTATTAAATAAAGAATGTAAAATTAAAAATAAAAAAATAATGAAGGTAATGAACGAATTGTTTAGCAACAAATCATTGAATGTACCTCCGAAGTTGTTGAATTCAATAGATAAGAGCTCGACTGCTGTTAAGTTTCCAATTTCCTTTGGTATAGCTCCTGAGAGGATGGGAAACAATATAATATAATGCTTTGTAGTAAGGATCATAAATTGTGAAGAATCATTATTTATTTAGTAATTCAATATTTAATTTATGTGAAGAAGTACCAGAGAGTATGTTGTTAAATAAGAAAAGATAACGGAAAGATGATGAAACACATAACTCCTTTGGAATAGCGCCTGCAAATAATTTTTCACATTAATAATTAATAAACAACATTTATCAATAATTAAATAATAAATAAGAGTGAATTATATTAACACAAGACTAAAGTACAATAATAGAAGTTCACATTTTACTCACCTGTTAAGTGATTGTTGTTAAGTTCTAACCACTCAAGCTGCGTTAAGTTCCCATATTCCTTTGGTATATTTCCACTAAATTTGTTGTAAGACAAAGCTATTGTTTGAAGCAATGAACATCTTGATAAACTTGAAGGAATTTCACCATCAAATTTATTCGTAATTATGATAAATGTTTGGAGCCTTGGGAGATGATTTCCCAAATCGAGTGGAAGATGACCAAAGAAGCTATTATATGAGAGAGATAAATTTTCCACTATAGACAAATTTAAGATGCCTAAAGGAAAATTTTCATTAAAATGATTAAAACTTATGTTTAATCACTTTAGCCGAGGAAGGTTGCCAATATCTCTAGGAATAGTTCCTTCAAGAGAATTGTCTCCTAAGTGTAAGATCTCAAGTTTTGAAAGATTGATGAGATGATCTTATGTGTTGATCTTGATAATCTTGAAGATTATAAGAGGATCTTGATAATTGTGCGTTGTTCTTGATAAATCTTGATGTTCTTGATTTTAAAGATAAAACTATGATTTTGATTATTTGAATATGATTAGAGCCCTAGGTTAAATTGGGAATTTCGTATTGTGATATTCTTGATATATTTGGGTGGGATTTCGCATGTTCGGGTGTTAATTATGTTTAGAAGTCATGTTAGGATATGTTCAATATGATTCTTGGTTTTGATCCATTATTTGACTAGGTGATATCGTCGTTTGTATTTAAAAGTGTCGAAACATGGTTTCGGGTTCCACGAAAGATCCCGGGACCCAAGTATTGAAAAAAGAGTCAGTGGGGGGTAGGGGAACCCGCCACCTACCCGCAGCCCCAAATGGGCGTCGCCGACAGCGGGCAGACGACTGCCCGCCGGGTACCCGCTGCTCGGTTTCTCGTCGCCGGCGGGTGGTCCTCCACCCGCCTGCCACCGTACCCGCTGGCTTTTCTCAATCCGGGATGGTGGTTTCCCCCGTTTGATGTTTCCCCGACCCTCGTGGTGTCCCAACGGACTCCATTTATCGTGCCTAAGTCTAGTTTGATGTTTCGGGTGCCGTTCGTAGGATAAAAGAGTTTTACGTATTGCATGCTAGTTGAATTGATACCCCGTTGGCCTAGGTGAAAGAAGTATGAACCCATTAGGACTATTCCTAGCTGTGGATGACCACGCATAGGTTTTATTATACGTTTTCTCCCCTCTCCCAATGTGTCAATGTGGGTTGCATGTACTTGCTATGTGTTATGTGTGCATGATACCCCAATTTGGTTGCGATCAAATTGGTTTTACATGAGTTGCGGTTCATAATCTGGTTGCGATCAGAAATACAATCTCGGGCTGCAGTCCACCGTTTGGTTGCGATCAAACGTTTTACATGAGCTGCGGTTCATATTCCTGGCTGCGGTCAGAGGTTAACTTTTAGGCTGCGGTCCAGTGTTTGATTGCGATCAAACATTATGATGAGCTGCGGTTCATCGGTAGGTTGCGATCGACCCCTTCGTGATGCGATACGAGGCAGGGTGCTGCGGGGCCGTGTTAACTCTATATGCGATAACCCTCATGTATGGCCATGCGATTGGTCCTGTGGCGCCACCAAAGTGTGCTTATGTAATAAGATATTGATTGAATGATGATATGAATTATGTGAAGTAAACTTGTGACCTTAGGATATATGCTAGCGTCTTTATATGCTTGATTATAACTGTTAAATGTGCTTATCTCTATTTGTCGAATCTATTCCTGGTTTTTAAAGCTAGAGTCTCCTAAGTATATATCTTCCTGCTTCAAAATGGTGTGTGTATATATATATATATATATATATATATATATATATCTATATATATATATATATATATATATATATATATATATATATATATATATATATATATATATATATATATATATATATCTATATATATATATATATATATATATATATATATATATATATATATATATTGTATTTCAACGCGTTGGAGTGGGTTACCAGCATCATTCGCTGAATAGATATATTTGGTTTTCAGGCAAAGATGATTAGCTACCGGAACGCGCTAGAGGATCTCGGCTTAGATAGTTAGTCTTTCCTTTCGGCCTGTGTGCCTTGATGATGTAATGACAATATTTGAGGATAGTTAGTTAGAATAGCCTGTGCATCTGAGCTCTCCAGCTCAGATGTGGCATAACACCCCAGACACCTTATGTTTAGAATGCTCCATTTGGGATTTATTTAATAGAATTGCTTTCATATTATAAGATTGAAAAGTTTAAAAATTTCCGGGTGTTACATGGCGGGTCTTGGTTTCCTGACCCGCCCGAACCAATGAGTACGCTCTGTTGGAACTATCGTGGCTTGGGTAATCCATGGATAGTTCGCGAAGTTATGGACCTTGCGTCCCGTAAGAAACCCGACTTTATTTTTCTAATGGAAACCAAGGTGGAACGAATACATGCTGAACGTATTTGTGCAGGCTTGGCTTTGATGGTTTGTTTTATGTTGATAACAGTGGTTTGAGTGGCGGGCTAGCTTTATTGTGGTGAAAGAATAACACGGCAAGACTTTTAAGTTACTCGAAGAACCACATTGATGTGGTAGTTACTATAGCTGGTTTCCCGGACTAGCGTATGACATGTTATTATGGCTTCCTAGAGCGTAACAGGCGTACAGAGTCATGGGATTTATTGCGATCCCTATCTGGTAAGTCAGACCTCCCGTGGATTGTTGTAGGAGATTTTAATGACTTGTTGTACCAGCATGAGAAAAGAGGAGGAACTGAAAGCTAGCTTAGTACTGTGTTGAGCGCCAGGGTAACGAATTTGGCAACTCGGAAATCTAATCACTCTGCCCTCTTTCTCGGAATCCATGACTCCGTAGGGAGGGTTGGAACTAGTAAGAGGGGTTTCGGTTTTGAGATGGCATGGTTACATGATGAAGGGTGTAGAGGTGTGGTGGAGCAGGCATGGGAGGAGGGAAGGACTAGGGGTCTACAGGACTGTATTGAGTATTATGGTGCCCAGCTATCACGATGGGGTGGTTATCGGTATCATAAACATGGGGAACAGATTGTGTCATTACGAAAAGAGCAGCATCAGTTAAAGGGGTGCACTGACCTGACCTCATTAACTGAGTATCAATGGCTGGAGGGGTTCCTAACCCGTCTTGAGTCTCAAGAGGATGCGTACTGGAGACAGAGAGCCAAGCAACACTGGCTCAGGGGTGCGGATGCCAATACTAAATTCTTTCACAGGTATGCCTCTCACCGTAAAAAGAAGAATACTTTATCTAGACTTATGAATAATAATGGGGATTGGGTGGAAGGGGAAGCCATGAGGGGTATTATTATGGATTACTTTGATCATATTTTCTGCTCTGAGCATCCGGGGGATGGTGTGAATTTTTTAGAGGGGATAGCTCCACGTGTAACTCAGGAACACAATGAGGCGTTACTTCGTCCTTTTGAGTGTGAGGAAGTTAAAACTGCACTATTTGCAATGTTCCCGGATAAGGCGCCGGGCCTGGATGGAATGAATCCGGACTTCTATCAACAATTTTGGGATGTGGTAGGGGGGATGTCTCGAGTTTTATAATTGGATGCCTACAGTATCGAAATTTCCCACCTGGACTAAATAATACATATGTGGTTTTAATACCAAAGAAGAGTGTTCCTGAATTAGTGTCTGATCTTAGGCCCATAGCCCTCAGTAATGTGGTTTATAGGATCATGGCGAAGGTAATGACTAACCGAATGAAACCGATAATGGAGGAAATCATATCGGCTTCGCAGAGTGCCTTTATACCAGATAGACTTATTACGGATAATATTTTAGTAGCTGCGGAGGTTGGTAATTATTTGAATAGGAAGTAGTGTGGGGTTGTGGGGTGGAGTGCTCTCAAATTAGATATGGCAAAAGCCTATGACAGAATGGAACGGTCTTTCCTGCGCAACATGCTCCTAGCATTGGGATTTGATAATAGATGGGTGGAATTAATTATGTTATGCGTAACCACGGTGTCTTACAATTTTCTGGTCAATGGCTCACACGGTAACACGGTTACCCCCACTCGTGGTTTGAGACAGGAGATCCTCTGTCCCCTTATCTTTTCATTATCTGTGTGGATGGTCTTTCTTTATAAACAGGCACAGGCTAGGGGTTCTATTCATGGTTGCAGGGTCGCTAGAGGTGCCCCCTGTTTCTCATTTGTTTTCTGCTGATGATAGTCTGTTATTTTTCAAAGCCAATGCCCAGGAAGCCACTGAAATTAAAAATTGCTTATCTGTATATGAGAATTTGTCTAGAACGGTAGTTAATTATCACAAGTCTAGTATATGCTACAGCAAGAATACTAGTGAGTTTGACAGAGATGAAGTGGCACAAAACTTTGGAGTAGTTCAGGCTCCTAACTTTGGGAAATACTTGGGACTCCCCTCGTTTGTTAGAAGGAATAAGAAAGCAGATTTCTCATATATTGAGGACAAAATCAAGTACAGGATTGGATCATGGAATAAGAAACTGTTATCACAGCTGGCAAGGAAATCTTGTTGAAAAGTGTAGCACAATCCATGCCTACCTTTTCAATGAGTGTTTTTTTTTTTTTTTTTTTTTTTTTGCTACCTATGTCTGTGTGTACGGCTATTGAGAGCGTTATAAACCGCTATTGGTGGGGGACTGGTAATGATGGGGGAATACACTGGAAAGCATATGACAAATTATGTATCCCAAAGAAACATGGTGGTCTGGGCTTTAAGGACCTCCGGGCATTTAATTTAGCTATGCTAGGGAAACAGGCGTGGCCCGCTTCTTACCAAATCAGAATCCTTTGGTGGCTTCCATTTATAATGCTAGATATTATCCCAAGGGTTCTTTTTTCTAGGCAGAAATAGGCAACAACCCCAGTTTATGCTAGCGAAGTATTATGCCAGCAAAGAGCCTAATTTTTAGTAGGTTCAGGCGCATGATTGGAAATGGTAAGACCACACTTATATGGGCACATTCGTGGATACAGAATGATCAGGAACCTATGGTACAGATAGAGATGCCTATGCAATTGGCAGGGCGAAATTTGAGGGCTTAATTGACCAGGATACTGGTACGTGGGATCATTCTCACTAATTTATTCCAACCTACAGATGTGGAAAATATTAAAAAGATACCTATTTCCCCAGAATATGATGAGTCCAGGTATTGGCATGGAGACCTC